GGAGAACGAGAAAGCACTAGGCTTTTCGTTTTAGATGCGTTCACACGCATGCCGGTCACGTCGCACTCGAATGCGGACCTCTCTAAGGAGCACTGAAGATTAGTTTCAGAAGATGCAAATAAAGCAAGGTCGTCTGCAGGCAGTACCCTTCTCGACTTCACATCTCCTGCACTGATACACTCATCACCTAGTCTGTACCTGACTCTTCCATCCATGTGAGATTTGTTTATTCAGTCTAAAACATAATTCGAATTTCACGGGATTTAAATAAATAAGACTTCAAGTTTTTGATTCTGGGCCCATATTTATAGAGATGGGTAGCCGAACGATTCACTATTTCTATCTGGGCATCAAACGCAGCAGATGGTGAAACCCTTATTGTCAACGCGTTTCGCTGTATAGGCCGTTGCATCATCAGGTCCAGGGTGAGTTCAAATGACTGCTTGAAGGTGCATATGCCTAAGAGGTGAACAATACTATTTTTTTCAATTGGTTCCTACTTTATAACCAAAGCGTTGTTAAACTGACTGATACGAAAGTTAACCAGCAAACGGTGTGAATTTCACATTAAAACAATCAGATCATTATTGTGCTAACCGAATTTTACGTATTAATCTTGCGATCGTTCCCAGCTTTCATTAATAACCACAGAAGATTGTATTCACTGCCAGTATGTGCAAGAGTTCCTTTATTAGCAGACTTAATATAGATTTGTATTTGTCTATAACAGACGCACTGGTCTGACTGGAAGAATGCTCTTCAGTAGTTGCATGTTGGGCAATGACGGAATCGTCCGCTTGTGTAAGACGGACCACAGAAAGGTGTTCTTTAATCCTGATGGTCAACTGTCGCTTGGCCATTCTAATGCACACTTTATCGTAGCCTTCTCGCTGAGCACCGTATACGTCATTTAATACTTCTTTCGGGTTAGTGGGCATGTAAACCTAAAATGAAACACTGCCCAAGGTTCTACCAGTCTTGTAGTGGTCTGTACTTTTGATTGATTTGGTAATCATGCCGGTCAGCTGACTAATAGCCCACCGGCATTGCGCTGTGCACAAATTAATCATTTCGTATTGCACTTCAGGGAAACCGCAGTCTCCTACAGTTCTTTTACAGGTGCCGGATTTCCAAGGCGGAAATGCATTACGCCGTTGTTTTAGTGGCGTAGTGAGCCCGTCTAAGCAGCCATGACTCCATGATATTTGAGCATTTTCAGTGCATTGGATGCAAATCTTCATCCATCAGTTGTGCTGAATGAGGGGATATTCTCGTAGCAAATCTGCCACTGTCGTTAAAATTTAACTCGCTGCTTAAAACAGCTATGCAGCGTAAAGCGTTTCGGCATAAATCAAGCAAGCTATTAGTCAGAAAAAGATGTAATGCAACGCCAATATTCGCGGGAAGGTACCACCAGCGGCAGCTCTGCAATCCAATAGGTAATCATTACCCTTCAATTGCTGATACACCGTACCCTTGCTGCTAGTCACCTAAGGCAAGTGCGGTGAAGCGCTCTTCAATCACTTTTTGATTCTGCGCCGTTTCAGTGTATTACCTCTGTTCGTTCTTGACGGTGCGTGGGCTGACACAAAAATGATGACGTTTAATATACGACGCATTTGGTTATGGTACAAGCAGCAGAAAATACAGCAGGTGAACAATAAGCATTGATGCCACGGTAAAAGTAACGCCGAAGGTGTAAAGCAACGCTGATGCGTCCGTTTTAAAATCAGATGGGAACCGTTAGTAAAATTTCCCATTTAAAATCCTGTTATCAACAGGCTTGTTCAAGGGCCAACATGAAGTTCACTGTCACAAATGAACCCTAACAACTGTAAAGCGTTATTAATTTTGTTGTACCATCGATATATATTATCTGTGTTATAATATTACGGGTTGAACGATAATGAAATGCATCGTATGCTAAACTTCAATAACATATTCTCTGTTTCAAACCAGAAAGTGCCGAAAACACTACAACTATTCCATATGAATTTTAGTATTCTGTCGCACCCTTGTGATTATTTCTCGTATCAATAGGATCAACCTGGGGGGATGCCGTCGACCGAGCAGCAGCGTCATCAACAGTTTGTGCAGCAAGGCTACCTGGCAACTTAAGGCTAACGATTGACGATTGTC